TGAAGATGATTTTTTTAGACTGGACCTGTAGGAGGGATAGATTTCTGGTTGTTCTTTGTGTGTGTGTGTGTGTGTGAGAGAGAGAGAGAGAGAGAGAGAGAGAGAGAGAGAGAGAGAGAGAGAGAGAGAGAGAGACTGCGAGAGAGAGAGAGAGAGAGAGAGAGAGAGAGAGAGAGAGAGACTGTCATTTTTTGACTAGCTACTATAGATTGTTCTCCAAAGCCTTCATTTCTCCAGCAGAGATGACAGAGTGGCAGTCTATCTCTGCCTGCATTGGGAATCACTATTCATTTTCATTTCAGGATCTGTTTCTTATTAATTTCTTTTAATTACTTTCGATTTTGGACTGGACTAAAGCCTATATGAAAGTGTGAAATGGTATCTGGTAGTTTTGACTTACATTTTCCTGATCACTGAAGACCCCCTTCTGCATGCCCCCTCAGCACCTTCTTTCCACACATCTGCTGAACCCAAGTCTGCTGACACCCATGTTTGTGGTCACCGCCTCTACCTGCTTTCAACTGTTAAGATCTGGGCAGTGCAACCCGACAGCTGAAATTTGGTGTCTTGTCTGAAATTACAGGATGTTCCTCCAGCTACCGTGTTTCCATGGGAACAAGTAACAGTCATCCTTCATGATTAGATGGTATCCATGGCAACCAAGCCAGCAGCATTTGAATGAAACGGATTTTATTTTATTTATTTTTTGCAAACACATGAAGGTTAAGATGCATTTCTTCCTAGAGTAGGAAGGCAGCTGGGCCTTGCTGGATAAATGGGGATTTTTCTTTTTCTTTTTCTTTTTCTTATTTTTCCTCTCAGTGGAAAAGGGTATATGGGATCAGATAGCTGATCCTAGGACCCAGTTTTGCAGACTAGGTTCCTGGAAGGTCATGTAGAGGTCACATTGGGCATCTGAGATGAGGACAGACTTCTGGACCATCCTCTGAGGGAGGTCTGCAGGAGACCCTAAGATTGCTGGATCTCTTTTCCTGTGATCGGTTCTTGTAGATACTTCCTTGGTGCTGTGTGATCTTAGCACTCACTTAACTTCTCTGGATCTGGCTTGTATCAGTCTCCCCAGCCTGGAAAAATGCTGCATTGCTAAGTTAAAAGCCAGAAGCAACAGTACTTGGGCCTAAGGTACTGAGATGAACTGAGATCCACAGTGGTATGGGCAGTTAGGTCTCTGGAGTCAGCTCCCTGTTTTCTTTTCCTATGTAAAATAGTCTTTTGGGGTTGGGGGAGTGGAGATGCTCCTTGCCCTTATACCTGACTCACTGTGTTGATGCTCAGTCTAGAGTCCAGAAGAGGAAAGGAGATGGCCTGAAGCCACACAGCACAGTCAGGATTAAATGCAGACCCCTTCCCTCACCCTGTTACTTCTGCCTTCCCTGAGGCCCTAAGTGTGGGTTTGGGGAGCTCTTCATGGAAATCCCTGCAGACACTCTCACTTTCTACCCAGACTTACCTTTGCATCTCGGAGCCTCAGTTTCCTCATCTGGAAAGGGGTGCACACCATGGCTGTCCAGGCTGTCATATGAGATTTTATCTGAAAGGGACCAAAACACATTCTCAGTGGGGGTGATACTGCCCCAGGCCGGCCAAAAGCTGGTTCTCCAAGGAGGAGAAAAATCTTACCTTTTTTTTGGTATAAAGCCTAGCACTGTGTACAGTACTTAAAAGATTCTATCTTTGGTATTAATATTTTAAACAAGGGGGACTAGAGAGATGGCTCAGCGGTTAAAAGCACTGGCTGCTGTTGTAGAGGACCTGGGTTCGATTCCCAGCACCCACATGATGGCTACCAACTGTCTGTAACTCCAGTTCTAGGGGGATCTGACGCCTTCTTCTGACCTCTGCGGGCACTGCATGACACAGGTGTCCTTACACACATGCAGGCAATATACTCATACACATAAAATAAAAAACAGAAATTTTAAAAAATTTATACGTGAGGGTACTGGGAAGAAAAGAGCTTGGAAAGGTTGCTCAGGGTTAGTGCTCAGACTAAAGGCTGAGTGAGAAGCACTTGTCAGAAGCCACCAGACAGCCATTAAGGGAGTGCAGGACATTACCCCCACCCCCACCCCCGCCCCCACAAAGCAGGAGGTGTGCCCTGTCACAGAGCACTGGTAGGAAGGATCCTGGCCTGGGCTGGGTTGGGGGAGGAGACATGAAGGCAGATAGGGCGGGGAGTGGCGTGGGAAGAGATTTCCTAGGGAAACCTCCAGAAAGAGTGGGTGTCTCTGGAGTGTGACTAGCAGAGTGGTAGAGGATGGGTGAGGAAAATTCTAATGAGGAAACACAGCAAGGGAACAGCCAGGGCGCTGGAGATGGCTGCCACCTGCCTCCAGGAGCCCCTGGGAAAGAGGCTTTTCTGGCAGAGGTGGTCCAGGGCTTGAATTAGAGCTTAGTGTAGTTGAGTGAGGGGCTAAACTCTGTCCTTTCATGCTTCTGGGGACTCCTTTTCAATCAGGAGAGAATGGAGTGGAAAGTACAGATGGGGTATCCTGGGTGACTGTCCTGCCTTCTGGGGACCAGGCCCTGTGAGCACCTATGCCGTCTGTCTTGTGTCTGTACACACATCCCCACTCTCTGTGCACCTGGGGTATACATGTGGGAGCATCTGCGTAAACATGAGTATATGTACATGTTTTCCAGGGTGTTGTCTCTTGCTCCATGTATCTGTGTGCCCTTGTGTGCACACAGGGAAACCTCCACCCTATCTTTTTCTTTTTTTGTGAGTCAACAGGTCTTTCCTAAGCACCCCACACATCAGGCTGGGTGTGAGGCACTAAGGACATGGAGATGTAGCCCTGCTTAATGTGGGCGTTGGGAGTTCCACAGTACACACACACACACACACACACACTGCAGTGGCCAGCTCAATAGGAGACAGACCCAGCCATTGCTATAGGAGGCAGAGGGGGCAGAGCTGATGGGCAGGAGTGCCACAAAGGATCTGCTTCAGGGCACTCTGGATAGTCAGGCTGGCGGAGAGAGCTGGAGAGAGTCCTCTGTGTGTGTGTGTGTGTGTGTGCGTGTGTGTGTGTGCGCGTGCGCGCACACGTGTCCAGGGGGCAGGCTGGCGGAGAGAGCTGGAGAGAGTCCTCTGTGTGTGTGTGTGTGTGTGCGCGCGCGCGCGTGCGCACACACGTGTCCAGGGGACACCTCCAGAGCTAGAAAAGGGATAGCAGTTAAGGTCCTGGGCAAGGAAGCAGTTGGATTGGGTTGACTCAGGTCTTAAATAGACCTGGCTCAATTGTGTCTCCTCCACCCCTACCCCCCACAGCTGTCACCATTTACAAATCCATGAGTATTTCACATTTTAGAAAACTGTGGGAAGCTGTGGCTGCCCTGCCCTCCTCTCCCCTCCAGCAATCTCCTGCTGGAGCTGTGCTGCCTTCCTTGACTCCATTACTGCCCGTTCCCTGAAGGTCTCCCAACACTAAAGCCTCTGGAAAGGAAGGCCTGGATTGGAAGTCAGAGGTCACACATCTAGACCGAAGGGACCAGAGAGGCAGGTCCTCCAAGCTCTCACCCAGTGTAGCATTCCAGGAAAAGGCTCAGTTATCTGTCTACCTCTTGTGACAGGGTGCTTAGTACACTCAAGGCTGTAAGCTTGAAGTGCAGGATTTGGGCAGCCTTTTAAAAAAAAAATGGTTAAAAAGCTGGACATGGTGGCACCAGCCTATAATCCAGCATTTGGGAGGTAGAGGCAGGAGGATCGGGAGTTAAATGTCATCCTCAACTACATAACAAGTTCAAGGCTAGCTGGAGTGCATGAGACTCTATCTCAAACAAAACAAAATTGTGGTAATGCATACAATTTTCCATTTTAACCATCTCTGTATGTATGTGTATATGAGCACGCAGGCAGGTGTCTACAGGTACATGTGTGTACGTGAAGGCCAGAGATGGATGCTGGATCTTCTTCCATCACTCTCCAACTTAGTTTTTAGAAACAAGGGCTCTCAGTGGACCTGGAGCTCACTGATTGGCTAGACTGCCTGGCCAGCAAGCGCCCTGAGTCTTTCTGTCTTCTCCTCAGCACTAGAATTTCTAGCACACCTGGCTCTCTCTAGGTGCTAGGGATCCGAACTCATGTCTTTGTGCTTGTGTGGCAAACCCTTTACTGACTGAGCCGTTTTCCCCAGTCCTGTTTTAGACATTTTTGAGTGCATGGCTCAGTGGCACTGAATATATTTGCAATGTACAGTTGTACAACTCTCCATTTTTAAAACCTTTCCATCCTTCTAAACAGAAATCCAGAACCATTCAACAACACCTCCCTCTCTCCTGTCCCACAGGCTTTGGTAACTGTTGGCCTACTTCCTATGAATTTGACTATTGTAGGCATTTCCCATAGGTGGAAATTGTCCAGTATTTGCCCGTTGGTGTCTGATTCATGTCATTTGGCATGTTTTGGGGGTTCATCTACATTGCACACATGATGTTCCACTGCTGTATGTATCCGTGTTTATCCAGTCATCTTTGGATGGGCACATGGGCTATATTTGCCATGTGCCTGTCGTGGATAATGTTGCAGTCAACATTTCAGAGAAGTGTTTGGGTCCATGTTTCTAGTTCTTTTGGGTGTACTTGTTGGGGTAGAATTTCTGGGGGGTGTGGTATTCTTGTCACAATGGCTGCTCCATTTTATTTTAGCCTTTTAAAATATTTTTAATTGTTTTTATTTTATGTGTATGAGTATTTGGTTGCCTGCATGTAAGTGTACCACGTGCGTGCAATGCCTGCAGAGGACAGAAGAGGGTGTTTACTCCCCTAGAACTGGAGTCACATACGGTTGTACCCAACCCAGGTCTTCTACAAGAGCAGCCAGTGTTCTTAACCACTGATCCATCTCCCCAGCCCCGGGCTGCTTCATTTTATGGGGACCAGTTTAGCTAACGTGCAGATCTAGGGATGGGGGTGGCAGAAGCCATAGCATCTCAGGGCTTTTGAATTTGCTTACCTTCCCTCTCCTTCTTTGACAGAGTCACCCCAAGAAAGGCCGGGCTCCCGGCGCAGCCTGCCAGGCAGCCTCTCAGAGAAGAGCCCCGGCATGGAGCCCTCGGCCACAACACCGTTCCGGGTCACGGTAACTATCTCTGCGTCACCACTACCACCAGCGCCACCACCTCGCCCTGGGGGCTGCTCTGTGACCCCGCACCCCTCTTCCTGGAGCCTCATGGACTGGGAGAGCATCCAGCCTCCCTTGCTCTAGGTATCCGATCCCTCAGCAGCTCCCTTTTCCATGACTCAGCCCCACTCCCTGGGGGCCACATGGGGGTCCCATCCTTTGAGGGAGGGGGCAGATAGAGGATAGAGACTCCAGTGTTACCAGTTCTGTGATCACTGCCCCCCGATATGTGTGCACATTGCAGTCTCCACCCTTAAGATGCACAATTTCTGTCTCTGTATTTTATTATCTCTCATAGAACAATCTAGGGCATGTCATAATTTGATTCTGTCTTGACGGGAAAGAAAAGAATTCTGTATTCTTCAACTGATGATGCCTTAAAATTGACTAAAAGACAGCGTTATGTACTATAGCTGTTCAGTTTAGGCGGTTGGCATGTACATTTCTTTGACATTTTTGCAACCTAAATAGGAGTTGGGGAGATGGCATAGTCAGTAAAATGCTTCCCTTGCAAGCACAAGAACTTGAGTTCACTCCCTAGAACCCATGCTTTTATGAAAGTTCCAGGTGCTGTGGCAGGCGCTTGTAGTCCCAGAGCAGGTCCCTGGGGCTCGCTGGCCAGTAGGCCCTGGCTGAGTTCTGGGTCAGCGAGAGACCGCCTCAAGAAAAGGTGGACAGTGCCTGAAGAACGATACCTGAAGTTATCCTGTGGCCTCTACACACAGGCACATATATGTGTACATGCACCTGCATATACTATATACACAAAACCCCAAATGACTTCATAGAAATAGACCTCAATAGTGGTTAATGTCTCTCATTCCAATGCCTCGTTGCATTCACAGTATACACACACACACACACACCCTTATTCAGAGCACACGTCTGTGTGTCCCTTTGCATAGCGCTGTGACAGGCATCTGGCACCTGAGGAAGGAATAGACACACTGTCTTCCCTGGGGAGCTCAGGTTTGGATCAGAGATGGAGGTGTGGCCCTTTGACCATCTCTTCATTCACCCAGCAAGCTTTCTGGTGTGTCTGCTACATGCCAGGCACCATTCTAGGGACAGCCTAAGTGGGAAGAGTGGTCCAAGACAGTATACAGTGGGCAAAATCCTGAGGAACTCACACCCTTGTGTTGGCGCTAAGAGCTGTCATGAGTAGAATACCAGAAGATCTTCTCTGAGTGGTATGGTTGGGAGGTGATCTTTTGTGGTTTGTGTTTGAGACAGAGTCACACGTAGCCCAGGCTGACCTCAAACGTGATATGTAGCCTATAAAAGCTTTCAACTCTTTGTTTCCACCACTCTAGTGCTGGGATTACAGGTGTGCACCACCAAGCTTGAACTTCAGGGTGATGTTTGAGCTGAGGGCCAGTAGACAAGGTGCCAGCCAGCCCTGTGGCAGGCAGGTGGGCAGTGAAAACCAAGTGGGGGGGG